TACACAGGGAAGGATAGAGGTCCTCACTGCTGAGCAATCAGAAAACGCAGCTGCTGGTCATCAGCCACTCATCTGAGCCACCTGGATGCCCAGCCAGCATGACATGGAATAGAGCTGCCCAGCGCATTTGCAGAATCACTAAACGACAAACGGCTATAGCTTACGTCACCAAATAGCAGGGCCTTATGTTTCCTAGCAACAAATAGACAAATCCCATGATATCTTCTGGGCTTCTGGGCTCCTTCAGGGTTTGACGCCATCCTGCCTCTGCCAGTACTTGGGTGTGAGTACCCTGCAAGGTCGGCCACCCCCCACGCCCTGCCCCAACTTCCAGAATACCCACTTCACCTGTTTCCCACCTCCGTGCTCGACCCTGGGCGCTTATGCCTTCTCAAATTCTGTTTATTAGGTATTTATTCATTCACTTCCTGTGTAAGAGTGTCTTGTCTGCAGGTATACCTGTGTGCCCTTCTGTTCCTGGTACCTTCGGGATTGGGTCCCCTGGGACTGGAGTTACAGACAGTTGTGAGCTGCTGTATGGGTACTATGACTCCAACCCAGGCTCTCCGGAGATCAGCCAGCACTCTTAACCACTGCGCCATCTCTCTGGCTCTTGGTTTATGCCTTAAAAAAAAATCCTTTTGTTGTAATTTGAGTGGGGTGGGGTTGAAAGTCAATTTCATCTGTTTAACCTGCCTGTTCAATTTGAAGTTTCTTCCTCCCTTCTCTTTCTCCCTGCCCCTACCCCCGACAGGGTCTGTTGTGTAGCTCTAGCTGGCCTGGAACTCATATAGACTAGATGACCTTGAACTCACAGAGATCCCCCTACTTCTGCCTCCCAAGAGCTAGGATGAAAGGCGTGCGCCACCACGCGTAGGCTATCTTCTGCATTCTCAGCCTATTCACAGAATTTTCTTCTCCGAGACTCTGTGAAGTCCTAAGGCAGAAGTTGAGCGAGTCTCACCATGTATCTCGCCCATCAGGCTCCCATCCCTGAAGTCTGCCACCTTGAGCAATAAGAACACCCTCTACATGAGTGTTTGAACACTTCATTCTAGCAACATCGGCATCGCCAAATCACCTCAGCCATCATTTTGGCCTTTTCGCATTGCCTGGCCTTCTCCTCCACCTTCAGGGGGCATGCCACCACCCCCAGGCACAGGCCAAACCCTGATTGTGTCATCTCCAGAGCTACAATCCTGAAGTCACCACTGCAGACTGCCATTCACCACCTCGTGAGGAAGGGGTCTCCTCTCCTGCGGAATTGCTCCGAAGACCTGCGTTGGTACGCCTTGTCCCTATGCATGAATCCCTCTATGTGTTTTGTGTCTTGTCCACCCTCCCCTTCCAGCCTGCTGTCTGAGGACGGCGTAGTGTGAGTTCTCGCCCACTCAGCCCCAGTAGACAGAGCTGGGTTTTTCTGTGGAGCTCATAGTTCTTGTCACCTCGGTCATGTTAGCTCCATCCTTAGCCCCATGGAACCCAGGCTGATCCATCACATCACCTGGTGACAGAGATAGGTTCCAGGTGGACGCGTGACCAAAGATAGGTGAATTTCTATTGTGGTGGCTCATGCAAGCAGTTCCGGTGCATGGGTGGGACGCTGGTGAAGATTAGATTTCTAGGGATACATTCTGCATCAAAAGCTGAATTTTTAGACTTTTGTTGAGGTTGTTAGGCAAGCAGAGCTGTTTTGAGTTTGGAAGGCTAGGAGGCCGGAACTTCTGCCATCACCTCTGCCGCTGTGAAAGAAGAGCCTCCTTTGCATGTTGCCATACCAACCTGCCAGGCAAGATGTGCCCACGGAAGCAATAGTGGTGTGACTGTTACGGGGTGACCAAGTGGGTCTAATAGGCCTGCCCCACAGTGCTATGGGATATTTGTACACAGTGTGAGGATGCGTTGCTGTGACTGGTGTGATAAAAAGTTGTATAGCCAATAGCTAGGCAGGAGAGATAGGAGGGACTTCCAGGCAGAAAGAGGAAGAAGAGACACCATTGAGATGCAGAACAAGTCAGACACACAAAATGGGAGAGAGGTAAAAATCACATGGTAGATATAGATTAATGAAAATATGGGTTAATTTAAGTTATAAGAGCTAGTGAAACAGGCCTAAGCTAAGGCCGAGCTTTCATAATTAGTAATAAGTCTCCATGTCTTTATTTGCAGGCTGGTGGTTCAAAGCTAGTCCGACAAGAAAGCTCTACCACAGGAGGGCATTCATACTTAGGACTGTGTACCTGGTTCAAGGCCCATAGTGGGGGAGGTCTGAAGTCCTAGGGATGAACACATTGCTTCTGTTTCTAGATGGACATATTGTCAGACTATCTCCTAAATATATATGTTTGTACTCCTAGACCGGTGCTGCTCTTAGCCCTGTCAGAGAAGGTTCCTTTTTCAGTGACTGCTGACTAACGCAGAGACTCTCATGGCTGGTCAAAGTGCTGAGGGTGTTTGATTCTCAACAGGACTTCAGACCATCCCCACAGAAGAGGGAGGGGGAAAGAAGGTGAGAGCTGGGAAGGAGAGCTGGGAAGTGCCGTGTTCTGGGCCTGAGATGCCATTGCACTCACGGTACACGGCACTCACAGCACACAGCTGCACAAGACCTGCTGCTGGCCATCATCCAGACATGAATGGGGAAGAGCCTATGGGCAGCTCATGGCTGCTGGGTAAGAGGGAGTCATTGTCCTGAGTGACGAAGCCACTAGTGAAGTGTCCGTGCTCATGCAGGCAGCGCTGGTTAAACTCGGTGGGTCGCAGAACAAACTTCAACTAAAAGAAAAGACGATGATGGGAAGGGGCTTGTGGGGAGGAAAAAGGGGGTTTATGGGGAAGCGGCTAAGAGAGACTGGGTGTGTGGGACCAGAATGTATTATATACGTGTATGAAGTTTTCAAAATAGTACATTTTAAAGAGAAAAGAAAGGAAAGCCTCGTGGTCAGCAAAGCCAGTCATAGGGGAAACCCCTAATAACCCCAGCGCTGTCTCCCTGGAACCAGACCTACAGCTCAGACTGTAGCTTGGCTTCCTGCCTTACCCGGGATGTTCTTGTGGCCTCACTAACCCGCTGCCCAGAGAGTCATGCTTTAAAGTGGCTCAAGAGAGACACAAAGCAGCAATTCACTGAAAACAAAACCAAAACCGAAAAAAAAAGGAAAAATAAACTTCAAACGTGGTCTACAGCGCCCCCTGGTGGATAACTATTTTTAGATCATAGGCCTTTATTTCACTAAACCCCGAGGCCCAGTAGTCTGCATGCAGTGTATCTAGATCAATTTAAAACATTTCTCCTAATTCGAAAAGCATGTAATTGCTGCTACTTACATTCCTGATTACAGAGCATTCCCACAATCCTTCGGAGCTCGAAAGCACAATCCCAAAGAAAGCATATCCCAAAAAAAAGAAGAGAGAGAGAGAGAGAGAGAGAGAGAGAGAAAGAGAG